CGCACAGACACTAGTAGTCTAGGCAGATACTATTGCCGACCCGTTTCTGCTACTGTTTCCTAGTCATTGCCGACTACTAGCGGCCGTGCGAATGCTGGCGGAGCTCGGAAATGAGATACAAGACAGAGCGGGAAGATTGATTTCCGTTGGCGGGACGATCGACCTAACCCGGAAAGACGAGCTCGTGGCTCAAGGGTTGGAGCGTTCGATTCTGATCAAAGAGGTCGCGAGTTGGAGGCTCGGTTGGAACGTCACTTAGGTCTGCGTATGACCGACTGACGACAGCTAATAAGCTACAAATGGTCATTCCAGTCTCCCTTTTCTCTGCCGCTAATACTATCTGCCTACACTACCAGCTGCTGCGGCTGTGAGGGCCTTTGTCCAGACCCCACGCAGAGCCGGACAGATGAGTTCTGTTAGCGGTAGGGTTAGAACGGCAGACTCTGATCGAAAAGATCGTGAGTTCGAGCCTCGGGTGGTGCACCACGAGAGGTGGGCTAACTCACTAATGAACCAGACCTGGCCTCTCTAGTCTCCCCCGTCTTTGCCGGCAATGCTATCGCTAAAGAAGTATCTCTACGGCGCGAGCAGGCCAGTGTCGAATTCAAAAAGGTACCATCTCTCTCCGATGAAAATCGCTACACAAAAAACTGTCATTTAACAGAATCTCTGGCGTGAAAGATGCATTAGGCTGCCGAAAGCCGCTGACACTACCAGGCGACAGAGAAGCATCTGAAAAGGTCATGATTATGCGTTAGGACTCCGGCAACCGGGTGGACACTCACCATGACAACAAGCACAGCCACGATCCGTGGAGTCGTTGCGGTTGTAGAGGACAGCCGAATTGGGCTTACTGTAGTTGGGAATGTACACCTGTTTCAACTTGTGCTCATGTGAGGTCATCTTATTGCGCCGATGTCGAGTGTAGCGCTCAGTGGTCTTCCAGAAATAGTACAGCTCGACAATCGATTTGGGCGTCTTCCAGGGCAGGAAGTCGGTGAGAATGTCGGGGAAGAATTTGGAGTACTTTTCGAGGGCCTCCTCAAACAGGGCCGCTTCACCGGCTGTCCAGGTCTCCAGTTCATCGCGACACAATGCCGGTCGACCGTCTGCCGAAGGGGTAGCGGAGACAGTGGCAGAGAGGGAAAGAAAGACTAAACAGGTAAGACTGTAGGTTGTGAAGGGGGGCAAGTGGGGTTCAGTTTAGAATTATGGTTAGTCGCCTTCTTACAACACACGGAGTTGGAGCTGCACTTCAACCAGAAACGACTAGCAGACGCCAGGTAGTGAGAACGAAAGACCAACTGTGACGGCAGAAGACGCCTGGAGACATCGTATCTGGTGCACTTACGGGCAAAGCAACTATGTCGGAGAAACTTTCACGCGGATGTTCGAACATGCGGCAACAAGTGCTGATATTTTGCCTGAACAGAGTAATTAGCCAGGCGGAGAGGACTCGGGCTACCAACGGTTCCAGTGACATCGAGGCAAATTGACGGGTGATCAGCATCTCTATCTGTGGCTCATGTAGCCTGCTCGGCATCGGCCTGTATCTCATTTTTTCCTCGCTGATAGCATGCCAACGTGGCCTCTCCCTCCACCCCCGCTCAAAGTTAACCCATACTCAGACCTGAAAAAAAACCCCGACTACAAAAGCTCTCTGAC